TCTCTCTCTCTCTCTCTCTCTCTCTCTCTCTCTCTCTCTCTCTCCAGATACACACGTACTGCTCTCTCTCTCTCTCTCTCTCTCCATTAAGTTTAGAAGGGCAAGAAATACTGCCCACCTGTTTCTGAGATTCACAAATAATTTTTATTAGAAGGAAACTCCAAGTCTATCAAAGAGAATATTGGAGAATTTTCTGCTAGAAATAAAGCAAGCACACCAGAATAAAAGGGTAGGGTTTGGGTATGCCTCTGGATGCACCTATTCTAGTGCATCCACCTTCCAAAATCCATCTTGGAGATCGAATGAGGATCCAAAACTTCACAGGTCCATCATCTCAACCATTACAAACATGAATACTTAAATAAATAAAAAAGAAGAGCATTCTGAGTCTTAAAGTGATCCATCGTGTACCCATTTTCTGGACGGTTCATTTTTGCTTTAGTGATTGTCTAATTTACACTGTTTTTGGATCTTGAATTCATGGATTTTATGTGGAAATTAATTTATAGTGATTCGGGAAGTGTTTTGAGTCCTGAACCCTTAAAAACCAAGACAAGACAAGTCTGCACAACACCCCCCCCCCCCCCAAAGAGAGCCAGAGAAAGCTGCTGCATGCTACATGCCACCTCATTTTTTATAAATGACATCCTAACTGAATATCAATAATTTTCTTTCAATTTTGTCACATCTTTAGATGCCTTCAATTCATTCTTGTCCCATTATTAATGAAAGAACCACCCATTCAATTATGTGTTGCCATGCAACCACAAGTAATCATGTACACAGTATGAAAAGTACCTTCTGTTTTATACTCTGAATGTGATTTCCAGTGACACCGCGAACTGGGTCCCTCTCTCTTCGCCGTAAATTGACAGAATCCACTTCACCTGATCGATCAGCACTTGTAACTTCAATATCCACCTGTGATGCTGAGCTAATATTACTATCCGATCTTAGAGAGACTTCATCACCCTGTCGACTCAAATTCCTTGTATCACTACTGATATCACTAATTTGGTCATCATACACAAGCCTTTGCCGGCTTCCTGGAGAACCCACTTGGCCAGAAGTCCGGCGAGGCTTGCCAGAATCCGGCAAAGTTGCAGAGCTCTTGGTTTTCTTCTCTGATTCCAACTTCTTTTGTTGTAATCTTGGGCTTAAAGAACCCCCTGAGCTCTTCGCAGAACTAGTGCGCTCTTTGACTGATTGTTGAGGCCTCGATGGGTTTTGATTTGATCGAACCCCTTTCTGTGAATTCGAATTTTCTTCAGCCCTGCCATTGTTATGCTTATCTGAAACTCGACCATGGAGCTCTCTCTGACCATTTCTGGAAGTAGGATCCTTTGGTATTCTGTTAATACCAGAAGCTTTTCGGTTTGTATCAATAGGATTATTACTCTGAATTTGCCCAAGAAGTTTACCAGCTCGAGGACCCGATAAACCATCAAAAGGGATTAGATGAGAGTCACTGGACTTATCCATAAGTTTTGCTGGCTTCATGATCACTATTGGAGATTTAAACTCCCTGGGGCCCGAATTTCCCTTGTTCACTACCGGAACCCGGCAATTTTCTGGCTGGTTTCGCCGAATTCCGGCAAGTCTCGAACTGAGATCAAATCCAATTTGGTTCTGGTTCTGGTTCTGGTTTTGGTAACTCTTTTGATATGGATCTTCCTCTCTGTCGGAATCTAAAAGCCCCTTAGCCTGCATGCAATCTAGTATTTGTTTCAGAGCTCTGAGATCCTTATCAGAGTGCTGAGACTCTAGCTCTTTCAACCTCTTCTCTATCTCGGTGTAAACAAATTGTGGTGCTGTAACATCCGGCATTTTTCGAGGGGAACGACTATTATTTTGCTGCCTCCATGGAGCAGCCTCAACTGGAATCCTTGAATTAGCGATGGGTTTCATAATTGGATTCGAATTCTTTGCTCTTGGGGAAGTTGGGTCTCTCAGAGAGCTCCTTGGCGAGCTAGAGTGCCGATCAGGTCTTGTTTCTTCCAAAGTTTTCGAGGTACCAGAAAAACCACTACCAGTTTTCTGACTACCAGGAAAGTTATCAGCTTCATGAATTAAAGTTTTGGTTGGAACAAACTGGTCCTGAGCTTGAAAATTACCAGAATTGGGCATGGCTTCCAAGCCCATAAGTCGGGCCACAACACTTGGAGGTTGCCTCTTGAACTCTGGTTCTAGTTGAGGTTTCATGGCTTCACGACCAGAGCTCTTTTGATCAGTAACACTTTTTTGCAAATCCTTCAAAACAGAGCTTGTTTTGATACTCGAAATGCTATTCCTCTTTGGTTCAAAGCTGCTCCTCTGCAACTCTTTTGTAATGGTGCCCAACTTGAGATCAAAACTAGAGCTCCTTGAAGAGCTATCTCCGCTATCCAAGGATAGCCTTGGAAGCTCTCTGATCTTTGAAGATGGTCGAGGAGCTTCTCTCCCATCGTAGGAGAAACGTGGGGCATCTTTAGGGAGAGAGAACACAGACCCATCTTTAGATAGAGAGAACAGAGACCCATCTTTTGATTCATAAGAAGTTCTTGGGGGGTCACGAGGCTCATTAAAGCACCATGGTGCTTCTTTGAGCTTTGCAAGGACTCTAAGCGACTCATTCAGATCAACTGAAGAAGCTCTCCCCTTTGCATTAAAACCAGTGGGTTCATCAAGTGGTTTGGGCAGTTGAAGAGGAGGTCTTGGGGAGTCTTGGGGCTTTAATGGACGCTGTATAGTCTCCTCTTTGGTTTTGGTTTTCACTGATAATCCTTTGGTTTCTCTATAAATTGAGTCCTTAACCAGGTCTCTGAAATCAAGAGATGGTCGACCCATTTGAGCTGAAGAATTGGAAGTCTCATTTCGAGAATTCAAGAGACTCTGTTTGTTACTGGATGCCTGCTTATGTGATTTCTGCAAATTTTTTTGAGATTTATCAGAGAAACTGTAGTGCTCGAGAGACGGGATCTCAGATTGAGGTAATGATCGGTTATCGAGAGAAGAGAAAGAGGAAGAACAAGAGGAGGAAGAGAGAGAAGTTCGAGGGGCCTCAACAGAAGATCTCTGGCTCTGGTTTTGGATCTGATTTTTCCCCTGTAATTTGAGGATTGAGGAACTAGTAAGAATTCTAGAGAGAAGTTCATATTATAGAGAAGAAAATACAGAACATTTAAGAGAACTTCTTACCATGGTAACCTGAGGAGGGCACCCATTGTCCTTTGCTCCATGTATGGTGGTGTTAGAGAGAGAACGGTCTACAAAATGAAGATGATCAAATTGTAAATGTTAATGCCACAATATATGGATGTCTCGTTTCTAAGGAAGCAAATATATCGTTTTTAAGGAAAACCAGGAACAGATCAAGAAATTTGGGAACTTTTGGAGACAGAGAGAGGCTGTGTGTGTTATGGATATCCTCGGTCTAGTGCGTGTGCGAGAGAGAGAGCGAGGGAGAGAGATTTATGGTTGTCGTCATTTCTTAGTAACCATCTCATAAGAAAGAGAAAAAGATAAAGAAGGTTCTTTGAAGAGAGAGAAATAAATTCTCAGAAAAAAGTCAGGAGACACAAATATTTCAAAATCAAAGAAAAAAATTTCAAGACAGGAGCTTCTCTAAAAAAACATGCAGCAAATGTGTGTGCGTGTGTGTGTAAGAGAGAGATTTCATGACCAAAGCTTTTTCTTAGGAACCAACCAGTAAAATGTGTGTGTGTGCGTGTGCGTGTGCGTGTGTGTGTGTGTGTGTGTGTGAGAGAGAGAGAGAGAGAGAGAGAGAGAGAGAGAGAGAGAGAGAGAGAGAGACGAGACGTACAAGACACACTACTACATACTACTACAAAATAGATATATATATATAGTAGTAATAAGTAATAACTTACTTAACTAACTTAACGT